GGTCCCCTTTTTCTTTGCTAATTGAGAGCTGATTTAATAAGATAACCACCTGTTAGTGATAATGTAGGGAGGTTCAATCCCTCCTGGCCAAACTATATAGTGCAGATAGGCTTTAAGATTTTATTTATTTCCGTTTCGAAAATCTTTTTAATTCGAGTATTCCTTTTCTCCAAAACAACAACCACTCCCACTAAAGCGACTTCAGCAGCCCCGTCAATCATGACGCAGCATCTCCGCGAGATGTGCAGCTTTTACATCAAAGAGAAGGGGTTCCCCGGCATCAGGGGTTGCAACAGCGACGTCATCGAGGACGTGAAAGAGCACGGCGACAACCTGCAGCGACCAGGGCAGTACATCCCGAATTGGAACGGTGACAACATCGAAGTCTACCTCAACATGGCGAAGAGATCAAACATCGTCTGCACGGCACACGGCGCGCCAATCAAAGGCGCATGCGCAGCCATGGAAGCTGTCTGCACATCCAATGAGAACGTCATGCCATGCACAAGTAAGTCTCAAAATTTGACGTCACATCCGATCTGTATTGATATGGCGGTGCCAAGTTTTACAAGGGATAGTTGGGGTAAATATTTTCCACATTTTTGGAGAAGGGGGACGAATTTCTTTCCATGTTCCAGATCGCGAAGATGATAAGATTTCTTTTCAAAAATGTTGGGAGGAACAATTTTCTTTTTCTCTCAATTCCACATCAGGAGAGAGAGAGGAAAAAATTACGAGCTCCCACCCCACCCCTCCCTCCCACATCTCTCTCTCTCTCTCCCCCCCCCCCCCCCCCCCCCCCCCCCCCCCCCCCCCCCCCCCCCCCCCCCCTCTCTCTCTCTCTCTCTCTCTCTCTCTCTCTTTCCTTCTCTCTCAATGAAAAATAAGATGGAAATAAAATTATTGGGGGAGAGGCAGGGACCTGTAACAGTGTAGAGGTAAAGAGGACTAGATAACTCAATTCAGATTTTTTTTGGGGGGGTATCCTCTTTTTTTTCTCTTTCTTACACGATTTAATCAGAAATTGTCCGAGTAAGGGAAATGAACGCTTTGGTCTATATTCCGGCCTATAATTAGTCCATTTTCAATGTTTGTCTTTCATCCAGTGGTTACAGCCGCTCTTCCTACAACAAGCTCCACAGTTCCAGCTACCACTCCACCTACAAGTACCATCGCAACCACAACTTCATTTCCTACAACCATCGACGCCAACACTACTACCACTGCTTGATTCTCTTACTATTACCATCGGAAACACCGACAACAAGCTCTAATACCCCCTTCTACCACTCCTACCAGCACAAATCGCACCACAGTTCCTACCACCACCACTACAACTGCAACCGCTAGCTTCTCTCACCGTCATCAGCAACAACACCAACAACTAGCCCGACGACTCCGGCTACCGCTTCTCCTACTTCCGCACCTACCATTACTTGATTCTCCTGCCACACGAACCACCATCATAGCTTATACTATGGACTAGTTGTCCAGTGGTAGTTTACCTAGGATAGAGTGTCCGGACGATATTTTTTTAGTTATTCTTTCTGCAGTTGTACTCATCAAGGAAAGTGGGGCTTCATTTCAAAAAGTCTTTGAAAGGATTTACCGACTTTTATCTCGCGACGACCAAGAGTCACTTTCCTTAGTTAATTTTAAATAAATTTGAATTCTGATTTAAAGTGCTAAATATCCAACTGACATCCCAATATTTTTATTCAATTTTATTGTTTTGTTACATTAAAGTTTGGATGTGATATAAGATGATTTGAATTAACTCGACACGTATAGGCCTGTAAAATATTCAATGCATCATACATTTAATTCCTTTTGTAACTACCTTAGATAGGTTTGATTCGATTTAGATTAATTCGTCGAAAACGTAGAATTTTGAAGAAAACAAAGATCAGAAATAGAAATAATCAATAGTGAACCGAATGCATCATGACAGGACAAGCTAGTACAGCTAACAACTGGCTTATTTATTATGGGGTAAAAATCCTTTCAAAGAACAATCTACTTAAAATATGTCGCTTTGAATCTTAATGCGTGATGAAATAAGTGTTAATATTGATTCATGTTACTAATGAATTATGTCTTATTTATGATAAACTATTAACTGTAAAATACTCGATGGTGTATTCATTTCTGTTGGTTTGAACTCACTGGCACAGACTCTAATGTCGAAGTCAGATAGAGAGAGAGAGAGATAGAGAGAGAGAGAGAGAGAGAGAGAGAGAGAGAGAGAGAGAGAGAGAGAGAGAGAGAAGGGGGTGAGGGGAGGGGATAGAGGGACAAAGAAAGATAAAGTGAGATGGTGAGTGAGACAGAGACAGAGAGACAGAGACAGAGAATAGGATGAGATAAGGAGAAACAGAATAACACAGAAAGATTTATAGCAATAGAGAGAAAGAGAGAGAGAGAGAGAGAAAGGGAGGGAGGGAGATAGAGAGAGACAGAGAGTGTGTGTGAGAGAGAGAGAGACTGGAAAGAAAGAGAGGGAGAGGGGAGGGGATAGAGGGATAAAAAAAAGATACATAGATATGATGGGAGAGACAGACACAGAGAGTAGGATGAGATAAAGAGAAACAGAGAAAGATATTAAAATAGTTATAGCAAAAAACAAAATAAAAACAAATTATTCAATTAAGATTTAAATAGAACAAATAAAATTTAACTCCAAAATAGTACTCCCAAATAGTTCCTTTTTCAGAGCAAACCTTAACATCGTTGAAATATTTCTGTTCACATGACGAGCTCTGAACCAATCAAAAACCAATAAATTGTTGATGCAGGATATTAAAAGATATATAGAAACGGAGATAGAAAGAGAGATGAAATAAGAAAGAGAGAGAGGGGGGGGGGGGGGGTATAGTGAAGTGAAAATAGAAAGATAGAAGGGATAAAGAGATAGACAGATAAGGGAGGAGATTAGGAGAAACAGAATAAGTCAGAAAGATATATAGCAACTGAGAGAGAGAGCGAGAAAGAGAGAAAGATCAGAGGGGTAGAGGAAGAAGAAAGAGAAAGAGAGAGGGTGACATGAGAGAGAGAGACAGAAAGAGATACAGTGAATGGGAGGAGATAGAGAGAACCAGAGAAAGTTAGAAAGATAGATATAAGCGGAGAGAGAGAGAGAGAGAGAGAGAGAGAGAGAGGGGAGAGAAAGAAAGTAAGAGGGGAGGTAGTAGAGGGCAAAAGGAAAGATAGCGTAAAGAAAGAGAGAAAGGGAGGAGGAGTAGAGGGAATAGAAAGAGAAGGGGAGAGGGTGAGACAGAGACAGAGATACAGAGAATAGGAGGAGGGGTATAGAGAGACAGAGAAATATAGATAGAAATGGAGAGCGGGACTGAGAGAAAGAGAGAGAGAGAGAGAGGGGGAGGGGAGTGGGTAGAGGGGAAAAGAAAAATACAGAGAGATGGTGATAGAGACAGAGACAGAGACAAGGAGTAGGATGAGATAGAGGAGAAACAGAGAAAGATAGAAAGATAGATAAAAACAGAGAGAGATAGAAATAAGAAAGAGAGAAAAAGAGAGGGTGTACAGTGAGATGGAAATAGGAAACCAGAAGGAGAAAGAGAGAGAGAGAGAGAGAGAGAGAGAGAGAGAGAAGTGAGGAGATAAAGAGAAGCAAACAACGATGGAAAGATAGATAGAATCGGAGAGAAAGAGAAACGGGTGAGGAGGAGTAGAGGGAGAGAGAAAGATAACAAAGGAGATGGAGAGAAAGACAGAGAATGGGAAGAGGTAACATGGGTAGACAGAGAAGAAAGGGGGAATAGAGAGAGAGAGGGAGACAGAGACAGAGACAGAGAGTCAGAGAGACCGAGAGACAGAGAATAGGAGGATATAGAAAGAAACAGAGACAGTCAGAACGATAGAAAGTCAGAAAGATGGAGGGAGAGAGAGAGAAAAAGAGAGAAAGAGAGAGAGAGGGGGGGTGTGTAAGTATAGGAAGTAATAAACAATAAAGAGAGATTGAGAGGTAAACAGAAAAGGGGAGGAGAAAAAGAGAAACATAAAAAAGTAAAAAAAAAAAAAAAGAAAGTCAGAAGTTTGGGCGTAAAGAGAGAGAGAGAGAGAGAGAAGAAACAGAAAGAGAGGGGAAAGAGAGACAGATAGACATAGAATGGGAGGAGATAAAGAGAAACAGCGAAAGTCAGAAAAAATAGATAGAAACGGAGAGAAAGAGAGAGAAAGAGAAAGAAAGAAAGAGAGAGAGAGAGAGAGAGAGAGAGAGAGAGATTTTCTTTTTTTTATAGAAACGAAATGCAAAAATAATTCAAAGGTCTATTGCATGGTAATTAGTGTACAATCGGGTAAAATATTGTCAATTTAATTTATGCATGTACAAGTTTTCTTCAAGTTTCATTCTAAAACTGAATGAGCCAATATATATATACACAAAGCGAGAATGACTGTCTTGTGATTCTGCAAGAATTGAAATAAGGAGGCCCCAAGAAAAAGATAAGAATCGGGCAGAAATACAAATCCCGTTAAGGCGGAAACGGACCTCCTATTCAAGCTGTTCGTAGCAGCTTTGCTCGAACTAAAATCTCCATTTAACAAAATGTTAACGTTTAACATCTGTGCTGGCGAGAATGTGACTGAAAATACCATGGTCTTTGATAGGTCACATTATACATGGCTAAACAATACAGAGGTCAAATACATGAATAAAACAATCAATGTCACTTGAAATATCAATGGGATTAGCAATTTGTCAAAGGGATTAATACACACTCTTACATACATTCTTTAAATCAAGCCTTGGCGAGATTAATTTGAATCATATTCAGTGTTACAAAAAGGGGTCTGTTTAAATTCATTAGAAAGCCATTGAAAGTCTTAAACCATTCAACCAAAATGTCCATGTGTCCTGATATTTTGTATAAATAGAGCGAATTGAAAATAGTATTTACTATTCGATTGAAGCTTGAAGGCTCTGAAAATTTTCAGTTGATCCTCTGATTTTTGACGGATATTCTGTTGGATTCAAAATGGCAAGTAGCGTAAGTCAATATTTTATCGAAATGTGATGATTTGTTTCAATATAATAATTATTTATGATATTATTGGCTTAGAGTCATCTTAGAAAATGTGCGAACGGGCTATATCATCCGATATTCTCAAACTTACTAATGAAAGTTCCTACGTTGTACATACATAAATATTGGTGTTTTGAATCTTTAAAGTTATACTACATTATGTCATGTGAAATTATTAAAAACTTAATCGCAAAATATATTTCACTCCAATGATAAATCTCTTTTTCACTTTTTTTTTTTTTTTTTTTTTTTTTTTTTTTTAATATATATACTTCTTTTTTTACAGATGAAAATTACCATCATCGCCTGTCTTTGTTTCGTCGCCCTCACCGGCGTGAAAGGACAACGTAAGTTTATTCTTCAAACACGTTTCGTAGTCTAATTTTGGAATTATTTTGTCTGGGCTTAGTGTGTACGTGTTCAATATATACCCTGGTGCCGGCGACACCATTAATGTCTAAATCAAAATACAAGCATTGATTAATTAAACCTATTGATGAACGACAACAAAACTAAACAAAAAGCTGCTGCACTTATCTGAAGATCTTAGTAAATGACATCACAAATCCTGAAGTTTAAAGATGTGACCAATTCGACTCTCATCGTATTTATATCGTGGTATCTCGCAATAAGCGTTTAATGATTTATATCTAATTACTATTTGTTTTTGTCATGTTGTGTGAGTGTAATGTGTTTTGCTTTCTTGTTGAGCTATTATTTTAAAAAATGAATGGAATTGAACACAAACAGTTTTGTGAGATAGCTTATGCGTAAGTTATTTTCCGGCAGACTCTTAGGTCTGTAAAGGCAAATAACAATTAATCGCTACTGAGGATGTGTGAAAGGAAAAAAAGTTTTAGATGCTCGACACTAAGCTGCTTCTAATCTGTTTTCAAGAATTAAATGCTTCTTTTTTAAATTTAAAATATTTGAAAGCCTAATCTTAACTAATTTTATTTCCGATTTGTCTCTAAGTGTCGTAGAAGTGTCGTTAGAAGTGTCGAAGTCGGGTGGTTTCAGCACTTGACTTGCAATTCGAAGGTCGTGGTTCGATCCCCGACACGGCACTTATGTCCTTTGGCAAGGCATTAATCTTCATTTCCCACACTCGACCCAGGTGAGGTAAATGGGTACCTGACAGGAATTAATTCCTTGAAATGCTGGAGCGCTGTTAGCTAGGCTAAAGCCGGGGTAATAATAAATGCGCCTCGGAATAGAACTTATAGATAGACGGCGCTATAGAAATGCCTATTATCAATATTATTATTATTAAGTGTACACAATTTTACGAATGAATACAGATTTTCTACGATCAACTGTGTTTTTCTCTTTTACTCTCAGCGATCTCATCGCCGACACTCGTAACGCAATACTTGACGGTGGCGTGCAATTTTTACGCCAAGGAAAGTGCCAGCGGTTGCGACTTCGAGAACGTGATCGAGGATGTGAAGGAGTACGCCGAGAACCTAGCAACACCTCCGAGCTTTCCCAATTGGGATGGTAATCAGGTCGAGACATATCTGGACATGGCCGAGAAGGGCACCGTCTACTGCACGGTCCAGGGAGGAGCCATCAGGAGCGCATGCGCAGCCATGGAGGCAGTTTGCGGCCCTTCAAAGGTCAACCTCGTTCGGTGCCAAGGTATGTAAGGATGACGTTTGATGACGTCACAATTAGAAAATCGAAGTTTGGACCAATAAAGGCCCGTTTGCATATGAAGCGGTTTATCTCCGCATGCATTTTGTCCAGTTTAGTAGGCAATTAGGGCTAGATAGGTCAAAAGAAGATTATAGGACAACTATGTCCTATACCTCGCTGGACCACCACAGCAGACACGTCTCCGGGAACTACTACCCTGCCCCCCCCCCCCTAAATCTAATTTCCCCTCAGCTATTATGGGGGGCAATTTTAAAAGGGTAGTCTAATTTTCCGGGGTTACTATTATGTTAAAGTATTGATCATAATAATAATGATGACGATACTTCTACTTTTACCACTAGTACTACTACTCCTAATGATAATAATAATAATAATACTCCTATTACTACTTCTGCTAGTGCTTTTAATAATTACAATATAAAGAGGAATAAAAAGAAGAGGAAGAAAAAAGAGAATTACAAAATAAGGATAATGACATTATGATGATGGCAATAATAATAATAATAAAAATAATAATGATGATAATGCTTTTTATCTACTTGTTTCCATTGCAGATGTCACACCGGCACCACCTCCTACCAATCCTGCACCCAATACTACCATGTCTCTCCCGACCAACCAACCTCCTATGACTGCCTAAACATCTTCGCTTCTTAATTATCAAATTTATACCAAGTCTCCAGCTAAAAGGATTTTAATTTTTGTTTTGATAACCAAACCTTATTGTCCGCTTATTCTTAAATATTTCAATTCGAGTTATTCAATTGAAGCCATAGATGAATAACAAAATAGCGGCTTGTGGAGAAAATTATGTTAAGAATTGAAAATATCTTCGTAATTCATATTTCACACAATCACACTTCATATTGTCGCAACCATGATTTAATCGTAGCTCTTCTTTCAACGGATATTCTGTTTAACAAATCATTTTCTTTTCAAATGTATTCATGGTACGCCAAATACATACACTTTCTTATTCTGTCTACTTAGATTCATTAAGGTTCTTTGATATTAATATGTATAAATTGCTGACAGATTTTCTTTTTTGTAATAAAAAAATTACTAATTTGTGAATTATTAGTTATTTGCCATCATGTTATATTGTGTTGTTTAAATTTGTATCGAACAAGTTGGGACATCAGTGATGAGAAAAACAGATAGGAGGAATAGAAGGAGACAGAGACAGAGAGAGACAGTGAGAGGTAGAGGGGAGAGAGAGAGAGAGAGAGAGAGAGAGAGAGAGAGAGAGAGAGAGAGACATAGACAGAGAGAGAGAGAGAGAAAGAGAAAGAAAGAGAGAGAGAGAGAGAACTGAAATAACATACATGTACTACATACCATAACTTAATCTTACATAGAGCCGTCAGGGTAGAAACCCCCTCCCCCACCCCACCCCTTAAAGATCGTTTTGAAATGCTTAGAAAATTCCTTTCAAATAGCACATTAAGGGCTAATTTATTTAATAATCCCTTCAAACATTTATGTATCTCTTGACGTACATGTACGACTGATTGAATATATTATTCATGATATTATGTATGTCAAATTACTTATTATTTCATTGAAAAAAATATTGTCTATTTAAACATCCATACATGTATCTGTTTTGAAATCATGTGTTTAATCAACATCGATTGTTAGTTTCCTCGGTGTGAACTATGTGCTTGATGCTGAAAACTAATGTTGAGTATTAATCAATACAAAGACAAAAGGATGAAAAAATGGCAAAGACTAAAAGAAGAGATACTTGTAAAGTATACGAATAAAGAAAAGAAACGTACACCCAAGTCAAAGATGAAAATGTATGGGGCAAAGAAAGAAAAGTTTAAACATTTTGAGGAAAAAAAAACATGGATATTTCGTTGCGTAGAAGAATGTGTGCAACATATATTAGAAAAAAAGGTGGAATTTTATTTTCACAAAGAATAGAGAATAAGTCCATGTATGAAGTGGCGTAGCGATAGGGGCAAGGGGCACTTTCCCTACACCCATGATAAGACTAAACGAGAAAAAGAAGCAAGAGAGAGATATAGAGAGGGGGTATGATGTTGCCTCTTTCCCAACCCACCCTCTATTCAACAGCTGAGTCATAATAGAATCAGAATCGCCCCCGCTATGCACTAATGAGCCCCCTCCGCTTGTTAACACATCATTAAAAAAAAAAAACGATGTTCCCGTAATAAAATCAGAGCTGCCCCCACCATCCATCGTTGAGCACTCTACGTTGCTTAGCATATATGACCAAATTGCCAATGAGAGGCTATTGATCTCTGTAATTTCAGCATTTCAAATTTAAAGATAAAGGTGAGTTCTGGTCATCCGATTGAATTGTGAAAGAAAAGGTGTGGAATGGATCAGAAAAAGTTGAGCATGTTGCATGTAAGTATTGGTGTGTACTACAAAGTTCTGGAGTCATCAAAATCAAATGTTGTTAATTATTATTTATTATTATAATAAATTCGGCCCAGTCTTGGTAAAGTAACAAGCACTGTACACTGAAAGATGTATATGGGACCAAACAAATGGTGTCGGGGCTACTAACCTTGATTTCCCAATCTTTCTGTGCTAATTACTCAGCCAGTATACATTTTCTACCAATTTTTTTTGGCAAATGACATTTATTTGTTATCTTGAACATTCAGTGTAAGTTTTGTTTGATTCTGTGAGAATTCTTTTTTTTTTTTTTTTTACCAGAACTCACCTTTATCTTTAACAATGTAAATCTTAAACTTTCTCAGATTTCTTTATCTGAATTTTCTATTCCCCCTTGTAAGGACAACCAAGGTCGATTTCACTTTAACACATGTCCATATTTATAAAAAAAAAACATGAAGTGTGGCAATTAAGATGGTGAAAAAAGGAATACATAATCAAAGACTAAAAGTTGATGATTAAATAGAATTGTTTATAGCTTTATATTACGTTTAAAAAAAGTGACGTCATCACAATCATTACAGTCGCGATGAATGAAGAAAAAGTAGCAGTTGATCTGATCTAGAACCCGACGAGGAGAAAGAAAAGAACAGAGAAGGAAGAAGAAGAACAAGAAAAATGATTTTATATACATATATCAAGTCGGTTGAACACGCATGCGTACATTTATGATATCAACCAGCCTGCGACGATTAAAGAAAATCTGGCGCGGATTCGTTTATAATCGGCGACCTCAGTATTGTTTAATCGGTCGGATTAGAACAATATGTCATCGAGAGAACTTCTATAGAAAGTATTACTCATTGTGTTGACTAAAGAGAAGACTGAGTTCTTGTAAAGATTGAAAAAATATAATTTATGAGATTTCTCAGTCTTTTTGTTAATTAGGAAGAAAATCATAAGAGAAATATCTGTTGCAAGGGATTGCTCTTCAAATGCCCACATATTCGAAATGATGGGGGGGGGGGGGGGGGGAAGCTGACAAGTTTGAACCAAACTTTCTTGTGTAGTCCGATATAATTATTTATCTGTGTGGTGCGTGTGACTTACTCGATTTCTTATGAGTTTCTTTTATATTCCAAAGGATCACAATATTCATCAGTTCTTATGCATCACAAAATCAACCTACCATATTTCACCAGACAATCTCTTTCAAAATTAAATCGGTTGGCAAGAACTCAACTTTATTTTTAATGGAAAGAGTGGGATTAGGGCTGTGAAGGTGGCGACAAAAAAAATGATGGCTTGTTCGTTAAAAGATTATCATAATTGTTGTCCTCGCATTCGAACAAAATGATTGAGGGAAGTGAGGGAACGAGGGGGGAAATGAACAATGAAGAATGCCTGCCTATAATGTGGGGGGGGGGGGGGGGGGTGTTCGCGAGGAACCGAGTGTGGCAGAGCGAGAATGAGAGAATGGGTGAAGAAGGGAGCCGGAAAGGGATATTATGTCGATTCCGAAGCAACTAATTTCGTTTCTATTTGATTTTTCCTTTTCACATTATTTTCTGTTATTAGATCTGAAACAAAACTGATTCACTGAAATTTCCGAGCTTAACTTTTAATCAAAATTCAATGATTCAACTTCAATAAATCTACTTCAATTGTAATCCCTTTTTCCAGTCTTGTAGACCACCGCTTGCTGCACTACTTGTGGATTGAAATAGTAATATAAATATAAGTTGTGATTATGTTTGGAATGTTACGTGACTTGACAACTATAAAACAAAAGAAATAATAAGCTCTTTTCCTACAACTGTGTGCAATTCAAATACTCTTTTTCCCTCTCTGAAATACAAAAAAGAACAAAGTTGACAAAATTCCGACCAAAGTTATCTCAAACATGTAAAAGGTAATCCCATGTCCTGAAATAAGCAAAATAACTGGCATGAATAGCTCTACAGATCGAATTAAAGCCCGTCTGCACTACTTGTAGCTACTTGCGCCCTCTATATGTATATAGCCAACAATGCCTAAATGGTGACCGTTGATCTCCTATGGTCCTCTTTTTCTTATGATAATTGATGATATAACCACCTGCCAGTGACCACACAGTGAGGTATAGTCCCTCCTGGCCAAACTATAGTGCAGACTGGCTTTAAAGGCCCACTGCACTACTTGTAGCTACTTGCGCCCTCTATATAACAAACCATGCCTAATCGGTGACCATTGGTCCCCCATGATCCTCTTTTTCTTATGTTAACTGAGAGCTGAGTTGATGAGATAACCACCTGTCCAGGGACCTTGCAGGGCAGTCTAATCCCTCCTGTAAACTATGACAGATACGCTTTAAATTAAGCCATTTAGATAAGAATGGTGCATTAATAATGAGACTCTGATTAATCATCATGTCAGAGTAATTTCAACCGATACATTATGATCAAATTTGGCAAGTGTATACCTTGCCACCTGGTTGATTGTTTTGAAAAAAGGAAAGATGGCCTCCCATGTACGGCATATGAATACAACTTTTGTAAGATGTCTTGATTGAAACAGCAACAGTAAACGAAACAGCAACAATAAGACATTTAGATTAGAATGGTGCATTGATAATTTGACTCTGATTTATCGTTACGTCAGAGTAATTTCAACCGATACATTATTATCAAATTTGGTAAGTGTATTCCTTGCCATCACCTGGGGGACGTTTCACAAAACTTGTCACCAGTGACAAATGACAGATTTTGTTATAAGCTACTGAAATCCTTGCTTCTGATTGGTTATCAGCAGATTTGTCACTGATTTTTGTCATGTGTCATTGAAAAAAGGCTTTGTGAAACAGGTCCCAGGTTGATTGTTTGAAAAAAAGAAATAAGGCCTCCCATGTATGTCATATGAATACAGTTTTTGTTAATATGTCTTGATTGAAACAGCACCAGTTTAAGTACAAATCCCATATTTCAAACGCCCTTATTAGTTCGATATCAAAGAAAATACGAATACAAAGAAACAAAGAAAGAGATTTACATCAAATATACAAAAATGGAGTGACGTTGAGGACTGAGGTGCCTCTAATGTAACATGAGCTCCTGCTATGGTTGCTAAATGTGAAAGTCTTCGAATGTGTATCCTTGAACTAAGTAAAACAAAGGGGGCCCGGAAAGCACAGTTTGATTGAAGCAGCAGGAGAAAGCAAATCCCATATTTCAAACGCCCATTTTAGCTTTGATTAATGATAACATGATGATAACAATAATAGCGGAATCT